AAAAAATTATAACAAATTCATAGGGGTACAGTGTTGCATGACCGCACAATTATCATTCAAAGTGCAACTGGGCAGGAAGAGGGTATAATTGCCTGGTAGGCAAGTGGTTAAAAGCCCGTACAAGTTATCAGTTTAGAGTTAACTTTAAATAGTAGCCCTAGAATGATTGCTGTCATTGTGTCATTCACAGTGATATGTAATGTGTATCACAAGTCAATTTTTCACACGTATGCATCCCGATGGGGGTGGGTGGGTTAGGTGCTTGGCTGTAAATTTAGTTATAACAGGTTCTCTATAATAAGACATCAGGGTTCTTTTAGACTAGGTAAATGAGCACTGATCACACCTGCAAGAGCCAGGGAAAGTGTCGCCTTAAACAAGAAGTGACGTTTCGCACATCATTTCTAATTTCATTATAGCCATGCAGGATCTTTGCCCACAGGTTGGGTATTGGAGCCCAAGAAGCATCGTGGAGGGTTACCATTGGAAATCACAGTCTGGGGGTCACACGTTCTACAGCTGCCAGATCACTTTCATTACAAAGCACAATTTCGGTGGCTAACCACTGGAATTGTGTTTAAAATCTCCTGTTGCCACTGCCATAAACATTATGACAGTGGTGCCTGGGGGTGCCTTCAACCTGCTTGTGAAATGGCTTACCTGTATGATGTATACAACCCACCTCAGCAAGGCTGACATTTTTGGTAAAAATCTATACATGACCCTTATCGGAGTATACAGCCTGGCAGAAGAAGAAAGGGGAGGATGAGTGCTGTACCCCCCCCCCCCTTCAAAAAAAAAAAACCCAAAACAAAACCAGAGCACTTGGCATCACTTTTTGGCACATCACTTTTTGAAAAAAAGTTCCACCATGAAAATCTATCATTAATCACATCATCCAACAATGCAGATCCAGGACGATCATGTTGAACATTGTTCACCAACCTCTCCAAAGTATAAAATCCTGCAACCACAATCCAATTCATTTGCTTACTTGCCCCCAATTTCTGCTGCCAATTTTTGCTGCTAAAAGCAAATGTAGGACTGTTAGTCACAGGCTGTGTGCTGGAGGTCCCTCCCGTCATCTTTTTACCTCTTGGTGTCTGGAAAACTTGTCAGAAGTGACTTATGCAAATAACAGAGGAATGAGGCAGCATCCAGAAATGACACGTAGTGCTCTGAATTGAGACAAGTACATACTATAGAGGGATATGCTTTTTTCCTATTTCATGTCACAGGTTTACAAGCACTTTAACTTTATTTTCAAGTAGCAGGACTTGTTTATCTTCAAAAATTTATTTTCTTTCTGCTGGCCAGATTTTCCCCACTCCAGATCCTGCCATAGCTCTCTGTTCCAGTCTCCCCTAGTTGCTAACATTCCCTAAAACTAGATACTTATCAACACTGAAAGTGTCTGATGATGAATCCTTGTGGCACCTATATCTGAAATACAATGAGTCAGCCACTGCATCCGCCAATATTCCACCAATGTGTATATTTATGAAACCTGAAGATACTCAAAGTACTGCTCTTACATAGACAGTCATGTCTGTGTAGTTGTCGGGTGTCTCTTCGCCATGAAAAAGTACATTATTTACTTTCCAAAGGAGGTTTTTAGCATTTCTATTTTCTTCAATACATGGTTTTCCAGAGCGGCTATCAGTTTTTATTAGTACTGTTGCTCTAAACTGCTAACAATGAGTTTTACAGAACTATATTTTAAATAAGGCATGCAGCAAGTTAAAGCATGCTGAGGATATTAATATGTATGATTGCAGCCAGCAGTTTCATTATATTAATTTATCTTGATTTTACACTGTTAGTTTAGTTTGCTTGTTCTTATTTTCCCTCCCCTGACCATAAAAATAGTCCTTTCCTTTCCATATTTAAATGCAAAACAACCATACAATTCCCTATGCGCTCCTATAATGTATGTGTGCTTAACAACTACTTGCTTTCTTGACTCACCTTTGCGACATCTTTTGACATTGCATAAAAAAAAAAATAAAATATATATAATATATATATATATATATATATATATATATATATATATATATTTTTTAACACACCGTTAACTTTATAGAAAGTAATTAAATTCTCTTCATTCTACACCAGCTGGTATTTACTTCATACTCCATCAGGCGTCAACAGAGCATGGGGCTTCAAGACAGAAATATTACTTTGGCAAGCATAAATATTTCATTTTTCACACCACAAATGCGTTGATGATGATTTATTAATTAGCCTAAAGGCCTGCTGCTTCTGCAAACTAGGAAGCAAAATATAGTAATTCCGTACTGATCACTGAAAATATGTATAACTTGCATGCCCACAAAATACATTTGGAGTAACTGCACACTTCAAGGCAAAGAAATATAGTGTAAATTAACAATTTAAAATGTTTGTTCTGTCCCCCCCTCTCTTCCTCTGTAGAGTTTTTGTATGCTATGGTTACAAAATATTGGGGGGGTATCTCGGTGGGTACAACAATGTGGAAATATTTTACTGTTGCTATGAATAACGCAGCAAGAAAGTTCTGGAGTATAATCCACATGTACAATATTACTCTAATACATGTACAGTGCAAGGGTCTAGCAGTCACTGGGCACTATAGGTTAAAAGCTTTCTAAGAAAACTGTTTTGGAAAAGAAAAAAAACCAAATCTAATCAGCATAGGAAAGCATAGAGAATGTAAATGATAGCATTGTATACCAGACTGAGGAATTAAAAGTGGTGCAGGTACACTCACATTGTGTGATGTATTATCCAACAGGTCTAGGTGGTCCACAGGTTGTCCTTCCAGTACAGTTGTACCCCAGTGTTGAGGTTCAGAGCTCTTAGCAGTCTGTAGAGATATTGTAATTTTTATATAATATATATATATATATATATATATATATATATTATGTGGTGTATTCTCACGTTATTGACCAAGCCAGAATATGACTAAGCTAGACATATTTTACACACCAAAAAAGATAGCCAAGGCTCCTTACTGTGTTAATTTAATTACCTTACTGTTGCTATGTTGGGTTAACCTGTCTTTGGGTAAATATGTGGAAAGCAGGGGAAGTTTCAGAGCAGATATTTGCAGATAGATTGGGAAAGGTCTTAAATATTCATGGTGTGCTTGTTTGTGGTGAAGAGAGCAGATTTGCCATAAATAAGCCAAGGAGTATCTATTTAACTTAAAAATTAAAATCAGTACTGTTCGTGATACTTTTTTATTTGTACTAACATACAATTTGGAGGACAAGCTTTCGGAGAATGTCCCCTTCTTCAAGGTCTAAGCAGTACTACTCACAAAGTTTTAGCAGAATGTTAGAAGAGATGTGGGGGATGAAAAAAAAAAGACTAGAGATAAGGCACAGCAAAAGCAAAGACTGGGGGGGGGGGGGAGACAACACTAACAGAGGGAGTCATGCTTGAGGTGATAGTCATAAAACTGTTGGATAATGATTGAAGAATCCCATGTCCAAATTAAGGCTGTTATGTCTTGTGTCAAATAGAATTATCATTCTTAGTTCAAAAGTTTTTCTTTCCTGAATGAATTTGAAATTTCCATTAAGAACTAAAATATTTAGGTCTCTCAAAGTGTGGTCTGGTTGTGCGAAATGGTGTCCCACAGGTGTGCAATAGTCATCTTCTTTATGTTCCTTGATGGTATGTCTGCGCAAATTCATCCTTGTTTGCAACTTCTGTCCTGTTTCACCAACATTAGATACTTTGCTACATTTTCTGCACTGGATAAGGTACACAACATTACTCGAGGTGCAGCTGTTTGATCCGGAGATATTGAAGATCCCTTTTGAGTGTCTGACCCTTTTGATGGATTGATTTGGTTGCACAGTTTGCAGCATTTTTTATTGCAGGGTTTGCTTCCATTATTTGTGACATTTTGATCAGAAGGAAGTTTCCTACTGATTAGTTTATTTCTGAGGTTGGGGGGTTGTCTGAAGGCCAGTATTGGGGGTTGCTGGAATATTTCTTTCAGAGTTCCATCCTCTGTTATGATGGGTTGTAAATCTTTGATTATTTTTCTTATTCCTTCTAGTGCCTGGGTTGTATGTAGTTACTAGAGGTACACGGTTGTTTGTTTTTTTTCTCTTTGTACTGAAGTAGATTTTTCTCTCCGGTTTCTCAGGCTGTGTTTATGCTGTTGTTGATACTTTTGTCCTTAACCTTTCTTATGGAAGGTGTCTGCTAGTGTCCCAAGATGTATATCTCTGTCTCTTGGGTCAGAACATATTCGGTGGTATCAAATGGCCTGACTGTGTATGATGGCACGTTTCGTGTGTTGGGGGTGAAAGCTGGAACTGTGGAGGTAGTTGCATCTGTCAGTGGGTTTCCTGTATATTGAGCTGTGAAGCGTATCATCCCTGATGTATACTGTGGTGTCTAGGAAGTTGACGTGTGTGTTTGAGTATTCCATTTTTAGTTTGATTGATGGATGAAAAGTGTTGATCAATGAGTAAAATTGTTTTAGGTATTCTTCACATTCTGTCCATATGATGAAAATATAATCAATATAGCGATAGTTTCTGTATGGTTTTTTGTTCCATGCTGTTCAGGAATTTTTCCTCCAGGTCAGCCATAAATAAATTGGCATATTGGGGTGCCATTTTACTTCCCATCGCAGTGCCCATACATTGAAGATAGATGTCTTTATTGAAAGCAAAGTAGTTGTGTGTGTAAGTATGAATTCAATGAGCTGTGTAAACATCTTTAGCAGTGTATTTGTAGTTTGGTGAGGATGATAAGGATCTGTGACATGCAGCTAATCCATCCTTGTGAGGGATATTACTATACAGGGATAATACATCCATAGTCACTAGAAGTGTATTAGATGGTAATTGCTGTATGTTGTTGATCTTGTTCAGAAAGTCAGTCCTGTCTTGCAGGAAACTAGCAGTATTCTTGACTAACGGTTTTTAAACATTTTTCTACAAAGCCTGAGATTTGTTTGTGGAATGTGTTCAATTAAAATATATGCATACAGCCAGGGGCGGACTGACAACTCATGGGGCACCTGGGCAATAGGGGATCATGGGGCCCCTGTGTCCTTGCCCAAACTCAAAAAAGCCTATGAAAAAGGTACCAGGGGCATCTCATGGGGCCCCCTACTGACCCCGGGCCCTTGTGCAGTGCCCGAGTTTCCAAATGGTCAGTTTGCCCCTGCATACAGCTGTTCTAGGTCTAGACACATAAGATCAAAAGGGCTCTTAAAAGTGCTTGCCATTGTACTGAATGAGAAAAATGTGTATATTAAGGAAGCTTCTTTTTGGTTGTGTTGTTGCCGGAGAAAGGGTTTCTCTGAAGGTTTCTAATAGTTGCAGGAATATTCTAAGTATCCTGTCATCTGCCTTGTCTGTACCTCTGTATTATGAACTGTCACTGAACTGGTTTCAATGCATCTCTCTGGAAAAGTACATTTATAAATATACACTGGTCATTCGGAGAAAGGCTGGATTTCTGTTATCTCCTCCAAATATCTGTATCCGATATAAACCCATCTCTGGTAAAAGAACTGATGTACACATAAATTAATAAGACAACACAGTCCAGGATTGCAGGAATCAGCACTCTCTTGTTTGTAGTTTTCTGAGTCAGGGAGGTGTGTCTAGCACTGACAGCGGATCTCTAAAGTCCAATGACAGTCTGTGTGGCTTCTATGGGGGGCAATGTCTTTCAGGGTTCTCATTGTCAATCAAGGACTCAGCTGTGCATACGAGACATTTAAGTACTTAATTTATGGGCATGAAAAGGGAAAAAAACTAAAATTACTGATATCCTCTATCATAAGGCAATCTTAAAGAAGTCATAAAATGTAATAATAAAATTTCTCAGTTTTATTTTACTCTAGAATCTATTCCTAATGCTTTATTGAATTTTTAAAACCTTTATTTTATTTTTGTGTATTTATTTAAAAATCAATGAAATGTCAATTAAAAAAAAAATAATCTACTTTGAGTCTGAGGAACATATTCTTGTTTGCTTACAGTGATAGTTCATTGTGACTTTAATTCAAAGGCATTATGTTTAGGTAACCATGCTTTAGATGCAACTAGATTTATCTTCTAGAGACTCTGCATATCTCTGTTACCTAAAAAAAAAATCTAGCTCCTTTCAGTTGTTTACTGCAGGGCTTTAGTTCTGATTTATAGTTCTGTACCTGTTGACTAGTGTTTACTACTCCAGACACAATCTCCTTTTTAGACATCAAAGGTCTTGAACTGTCTTGAATCCATTTATGGATAAACTTTCAGTGTCTCTCATTTCCACACAACAGCCTTTCCTGGCATATCACAAGCCTCTGTTCATGGACTTTTTTCATCATCTAGTCATCCATCATATCTAAGGCCAACTAATAGCTGTCTTTGTATCCCAATAACACTTTCTGCTGATACTCAAATCTGCCTTTCAGCTGCAGATCACATTTCTCCAGTATTTTGTTTTTCTGACTGTACACAACGCTTGTCTTCACTTTTTCTTACTTTCTTAACTGTAATGTGGATAAAGCAATTTGTAGTTTATCCAACCTTTCACTCCACTCTTTATAATGTTTGTAATAAGTTAGTTTTATTCCACTCTTTCTTTTAAATGTAATATTACCCCTCCTTTTGCTCAATTCTGAAAAAAAAATGTATCTCAAATCCATCCCTTTCTCATACATGATTCCATTAAATGTTATTGCATAGACTTATCATAACCTGGCTTGACTACTATAATGTTTTCCTGTGATGTACTAATAGGCCAATGCCAACCTAATATATTCTAAACTCAGCTTAACCATTTCTCTTCTTGCTCTTTAAATTCTTCTATTTCATTCACTCCCCCGGCCTACCAGTTACTCAGAAAATTCAGCCCTCCACAGAATGACCTCTTCATACATTTTCTTATTATTTTCAGATATAATTATGAATGCATTAGAAATTGTCTCTGATGATGTCATATCTGAGGAAACATGTAGGATGTGACCGGATGTCGTGACATGACCAAGAATGCGCACACGTTAAACAGAATTCTGGGTATTGTAGTCGCCTTGTTGACGATTGATGTGTATTGTTTGCTGACCTTTTTTAACCTGAACATAGTACTTCTGAGGATTTCATACTATGGGAGAGGGTGGCACTCTCTTCTTCTTTCCCTAAGTTTCTGTCTGGTTATGAAAGCCTCAAAGAGAAGAGATTGGAGATATCAGATGTCCGATGTGCGGTGGTCTCAACTGCACATCGGTACAACCGCATTTTGACTCTTTTTTCCACACTACAAGTCACCGGACATCTGGTAAGCCTTTAAAGTGGATGTCTGTTTGCACGAGGTGGTTTCCTTTCGTTGATTTTCTGACATAGCCAGAGGAGTCTTCCTGATAGTGAAGGATCTTTTATCGTGTTGGATTTTTCTTTCATTTTTTTTTATGCACTTGACTGTTTTTTGTTTGAGCATTTCCCCATACTGTATTTTGTATATATGATTTTTGAACAGTGACCTTTAAGCACTACTTGTTTGAATTTGTAGCATCTTATTTTTTTTAATGTGTTTTGGAATAAGTTTGATATGGGATATTACACATTCTATATACAGTTGCAAGAAAAAGTATGTGAACCCCTTGGGATTACTTGGAGTTTTGCATGAATTGGGCATAAAATGTGCTCTGAACATCATCTAAGTCACAACAATAGAAGAACACAGTCTGCTGAACATAATACTACACAAACATTAGATGTTGCCATGGTTTAATTGCACATAACATGTAAACATTCACAGTGCAGGGAGGAAAAAGTATGTGAACCTTTGGACTTAATAACTGGTTGACCCTCCTTTGGCAGCAATAACCTCAACCAAACGTTTCCTGTAGTTGCAGATCAGACCTGCACAACGATCTGGAGTAATTTTGGACCACTCCTCTTCACAAAACTGTTTCAGTGTAGCAATATTCTTGGGATGTCTGGTGTGAATCGCTCTCTTAAGGTCATGCCACAGCATTTCAATTGGGTTGAGGTCAGGACTCTGACTGGGCCACTCCAGAAGGCGTATTCTGTGCTGTTGCAGCCATTGTTTTGTTGAATTACTTGTATGCTCTGGGTCATTGTCCTGTTGCATCACCCATCCTCTGCAGAGCTTCAGTTGGCGGACAGATGGTCATACGTTTTCCTGCAAAATGTCTTGATAAATTCTGGAATTCGTTTTCCCATCAATGACAACAATCCGTCCAGGCCCTGAGGCAGCAAAGCAGCGCCAAACCATGATGCTCCCTCCGCCATGTTTTACAGTGGGGATGAGGTTTTGATGTTGGTGTGCTGTGCCTTTTTTTCTCCACACATAGTGTTGTGTGTTCTTCCCAAACAACTCAATCTTGGTTTCATCTGTCTACAGTATATTTTGCCAGTAGTGCTGTGGAACATCCAGTTGCTCTTTTGCAAACTTCAAACGTGCTGCAATATTCTTTCTGGACAGCAATGGCTTCCTCCGTGGTGTCCTCCCATGTACTCCATTCTTGTTTAATGTTTTCCTTATTGTAGATGTGTCAACAAAAATGTTAGCATGTGCCAGAGATTTCTGTAGGTCTTTAGCTGACACTCTGGGATTCTTCTTTACCTCATGCAGCATTCTGCGCTGTGCTCTTGCAGTCATTTTTACAGGACGACCACACCTAGGGAGAGTAGCAACAGTGCTAAACTTTCTCCATTTGTAGACAGTCTGTCTTACCGAGGACACATGAACATCAAGGCTTTTGGAGATACTTTTGTAACCCTTTCCAGCTTCATGCAAGTCAACAATTCTTGATCGTAGGTCTTCTGAGAGCTCTTTTTCTGCGAGGCATGGTTCACATCAGACAGTGCTTCTTGAAACCAGTAAACCCAAAACAGGTGTGTGTTTTTTAAGGGCAGGACAGCTGTCAGCAACACATCCAATATCATCACACTGATTGGAGTCAAGGTTGGTTCACTTCTGGCTCCAATTAGCTCTGGGAGAAGTCATTAAGCTAGGGCCTCACATACTTTTTCCTCCCTGCACTGTGAATGTTTACATGTTATGTGCAATTAAACCATGGCAACATCTAATATTTTGTGTAGTATTATGTTCAGCAGACTGTGTTATTCTATTATTGTGACTTAGATGACGTTCAAAGCACATTTTATGCCCAATTCATGCAAAACTCAACGTAATCCCAAGGGGTTCACATACTTTTTCTTGCAACTGTATATGTAATTCATAATGCATTGCATGTTACTTTTTCATATTTTAATGGCTTTGCATCCAGCACTTTTCTCCATTTCTCTTGAAGTCCCTTCTATGTTATTAAGCCCTTGAAACCTTCAAATATCGTTAAGGCTCCCTTTACACTTGCATGTTCCATTCCATTGTGCCATCAAATGTAAGTTAACAAATTTTATTTTTTTACGCTATAACATGCCTTCTGGTAAGGCAACCCATTTAATTAGAATGGGTTGGCAAAGGAACAAAAACTGGAACTTTTATTTTAATTTGTATATGCATTGTGGCACTGCTAGTCCATTGGTCCACAAAGGATGCAAAATTGTACCTGCTTCATTTTTTGTCACTGTTGGATACTATCAATCATTGCAATGCATTTTGGAAATGCATTAAGGTACTATTCATTTTAAATGACACCACAGCACTAACGCACATAGTGTGTGTTACTGCAGCATAATAGTGTGAATGGGCCCTTACTTACATAACATGTTATAGCACAACGGTGTGAATGGGCCCTTACTCACATAACATGTTACTGCAGCACAACGGTGTGAATGGGCCCTTACTCACATAACATTTTACTGCAGCACAAGAGTGTGAATGGATCCTTACTCGCACAAGGTGTTTTTGTAGCACAATGGTGTAAATGGGTCCTTACTCCCAAAATGTGTTACTGTAGCACAGTAGTGTGAATGGGCCTTTACTCCCAAAATGTGTTACTGTAGCACAATAGTGTGAATGGGTCCTTTCTCCCATAATGTGTTACTGCAGCACAATAGTGTGAATGGGCCCTTACTCCCATAGCATGTTACTGCAGCACAACGGTGTGAATGGGCCCTTACTCCCATAACTTTTTACTGCAGCAGCACAATATTGTGAATGGGTCCTTTCTCCTATAATGTGTTACTGCAGCACAATAGTGTGAATGGGTCCTTTCTGCTATAACGTGTTACTGCAGCACAATAGTGTGATTGGGCCCTTACTCCCATA